TACTAGCTGGATCCTTTCCTGGTTCCGGTTTTCGCTGAGGAAATAGAATGTAAAGAAGGATTGGGTCTCATGGACGGAACGAAATTAGGGAGCTAGCTATTCATTCAACTGGGTAGAAATTGTAAGAATAAAGGATCTATTAACTTGGTCTGATTCATTGTGATGCAGTTCAATGGGCTTGCACGAATCTCATAAACTACCGTGAGAAAGAACTAAATTAGATTCTAAGAAAAAGTAATCGACGCAGGAACTAAACTTATTTCCGGCTCGAGTCAAACCAAGTCGTTCAACTTCCAAAACGCCCCAAATGTGATCAGGCTACGTCATTGGAACAGACGCACGGAATAATAAGATAGAAGGAGCGGAATGAGCAAATATAAATTCTTAGAAGAACTGGAACGATCTTTCACGAAAGGCAAGACTCTCGACTAGATCGTTAATCTCGTGATTAACTCACAGTATGCTCAGCATTCCACCGAGGACCAACACATGTCCCATTGTTGCAAGGATTTCAGCTGGCAAGTCCTGCGTCACAAGACTCGCTTTGGCTTATCATCAATTGGTTGAATACATATATATCCAACGTAGAAACGTGTGATGGAAGCTCCTACGTACGATAGCCTACTTTGGTTTTTGAGGTATATGCTTCTACATCGGTGTTCACTTCCCCAAGTCCAGGAATTCCTAGACAGAATCCGACCCCAATTATGAAATACCGTTCTGGATTATTGGCCGAAGAAGTTGGGGATTACACCCCAGTGTGCAGTTACAAAATAACTGCAAAACAAAATTATCAAATTATTCGGTAAAAAAGAATTTGGAAAATCGAGTGAAAACCAAGTGTGGGCGATTCAGAAGCTGCTGGTGGCATGTAAGTGACATAGTCTCGGTACCATGAGCCTCATAAGGTAAGGCATTAACTTCATGAGCTATCAAAGAGGCTGCCTTTTAAAGTTTTGAACTGTTGATAGGATCTAGTTAGAACATTGCAGACAATGTCTTTTAAACCAGAGAAAGGAATTGGTCATGCAAAGAAACATAAATAAATCGGCGACTGAGACGGAACATAAATCTTAGAAATGTTGCACAAACGCCCCCTTGCAGGGTTCAAGGTCCGGCCTTACACAGAACACTTTCCCAGCAGCATTTGTCCTATCGACCAGCAAGCAATTTTTCTAAAGCCTCAATGACGCAATGGCCGGCAAGGTTTTCATGGAATAAACAACTGCTGTGTTACTTTACTTATTTCCTAGAAATTGACTTGAACGTCAAAGTTGAGCGTTCGATGTGCCTTCGTCTCACTCAGGTCAATTCAGTAATGGGCCCATAACAAGATTAATAACATCGCCTTCTCATCAACTTCCACTGGGAAAAAACTTTTCGTCGAGTCAGCATTCCTTCTGTCTAGGTATTAGGTTGAGTAAAAAGTTTTGATCGAACTTCGTCCCTTTTTTTGTAGCACCGCTCGGAAGGACTTCGTAATGGGTTATGGTAGACCGATCCCTAACGTGTATTTTTAAAAGGATATATAAGCATCCCCTTGGAAGTGCTTCGCAAAAATGACTTCAACCTTCAACTGGCGTCCGAAGCTGTCTGAGAGCTATCGTCTATCACGAATTGCTGTAAGGGCATAATCCACCGACGGCTGTCGCAAATATCTATGGTGCATCCAGAAGGGTCATCGTATCTCAGCCCACGGGTGCCTCATGACGGAGCACCTCCAAGACTAACAGAGAAGTAGACTATGTCCGAGGAAGGTTTCACTGTGTCGTCGGTGGACATTCTCAGGGAATGCTCTACATTGGATTACTTACTGAGAGCTCCACCGTGACCGCCGAGATTTACGCTTTTCAGCTACAGAGTTTGGTCGACGTTGTTCGAAGGAAGCGTCCGCAGCGTGAAAATGTTTGCCTTTTCACTACAGCGCTCAACCGCATGTTGCGAAATCATTTTGTCAGTAAATTGCCCAACTTAGATGGGCAGTGCTAACCCATTCTACTTATTCGCGAGGTCTCGCTCCGTCTGATTACCATTTGTTTCTTGCTCTGAAACATTACCTCCACGATAGAAATTTTGATGACTGCCCGGAGCTCAAAGATGAGATCTCCAGCTTTTTCGAATCGTGGCCGCCACCCTTCNAGGCTTCAGGAGTCGAGAAACTGCCGGTTCGTTAGACGTATGTTTAGGACAACGATGGACACTATATTACTGGGAATAAGACTTTTGAAAGTGAAGATTGAAAAGCCGATCAAAACTTTTTACTCAACCTAATATAATGACATTTTTCTTAATGCATTTTCGAGGCTTCCTGAGGTTGAGCAGCTCTCTCACCATCAGCTCATTAACATTTGGCTTTAGTGGGATTGTTGGCTGTCGTTTGGAGTATCCTGTGCATAGTATGTTATTGGACAATTTCAAACATTGACGAAGGCGAAGACGCCAAATCCTGGTCCGAGAATGTTTGTTAATCTTGATATGATGAATTATTTGTTTGGCGATAATCAATCCCGTTTTTGGGACGCGCACTGCATTCGTCTTCAATCCAGGATCTCAGTGGAGGTTTGAATGGTTATGTGGTCAATACAATGAAATGCCGTAGCCAGACAATGTACAAGGCGGTTCTTTCATTCTATCAGACAAAGCTGTTACCAATTACCCATCGATAGGCCTAGCCAAGAACTAATCCGGGATTCGTTCCGTGGATCATGCATGGGTGGTAGTGCACCATTTGCCATTAAACTACGTCCGCCCCTGTGAACTTTCTCAGTTTCAAGACAGTTCTTCTGGATGAATACTAAAAGTGAAAGGTCGATTCAACCGATTCAAAACCCTATTATAAATTACACGATCTTCTTATAAAGTACTGAAGGGAATTCAACAACTTCAGAACATAAATTTTCCTGAAATAACGGTGTCAGACGCTTCATCAAGATGGCTATCTCCCACAAAAACAAAAAAGGTGGAGAGTTGAGCAAGAGGGAATTAAGTAATATTGTAGAATATCCTGCTAGTTTCAGCTCTGCAGCAGAAAGCAATTGTGGATTCAGTAACACTGCCCGCTGAAGCTAAAGAACTACTACTTTCTTTGCTTGTCCTTTGACGCACGCATACACTTTTTTTCTGGTCCCATTGAAAAGGTGCATTCACATGAAGTTCCATCATTGTCATGAAATTCGCACGCGGTAACGAATTGTGAAAGAGTTATGGCTGTATTCATCAGAAGACGGTATGTTTCCATTCATATGCTATAACATCTTTTTGGAAAAAAAACCAAAAATCCAGTTGAGAATAGCTTAGCCGTTGAGAACATTCAGAAGCTGAAATTCAGTCGAAGACTGCGAAAGATGCCTTGTGCTGTTGGGATTTGAGGGAAAAATCCATGAAAAGTTATCGAAACGATTATAAAATACAACTTTTTCTCATTTCTGGACGCACTCTGCTACCTTGAAAAAGCCTCGTTGTTTTATTTATTCGACTTTAAGAAAGCTACCTCTAAGAGCAACTGATTTTCATAGTGATGTTTCTCTTATTGAGACCACGAATAAAGATGAAGAACGGATCGCACACATGAGGAGAATAAGAATGACCCATGCTACTCTCCGGAGCATTCCTAAACCCTTGTCACCGGCCGCCAATATCCGCGTAATCTCCCATTATATTTAGCTGAACTGTTTTATATTGTCCCTACATTAACTTTTAACTTCTCTTATAACTGTAGTTGGAAATGAATGATTCCTGGACCACAATGCCACAAGATTCTCTAGAAGGCTGTGAGCTCAGCTTATACTTGAAAACATGAAAACCTATAAGAACACTTGATAAATAATATAAATACTACAGATACGCGTTATCGTGTGGACCGCCGACGGGCCACGGGGTCGTCAATGGGTTAAGGTTAACTTGAGGGAAAACTTTCTTAAAAATTCTTATCAGCATTTATTGATCATCAAATTTCCATGATGCGTTGCCTACATAGTTGGCCGTAACGTCTTCCGACAGACTTCTAAACGCCCGGCAGGACTTGCGTACTATTCGCGCTTAAAAACGCAGGCTATACCGGCTGCTCTGCAGTTACGAGACAAGCGGGGGAAAATGCCACGTGGCAAGTCGATGTGGTGTCTGCTCTAGCACCATCTTCACTATTCGCGGTCACTAGACTTCATGACCCTCGTCGTCTCGTCATGTCTCCGTACCTGCGCTGAAAAGCAGTACCTTCTGCTATTTTCTTCAATCATTCCTACTTGTTTCTGACTCCATCCGTCCTTGTGTCCAGCTACTACGCCAGTGCTCGTCGACACTGAGTTGATTAACATTGAAGATTTGGAAGCTTCGGGTGTGGTGCCTAGTAAGTTGGTGAAATAGTTTCTTTTCTTATTGTTATTTTTCCTATTTATTAACACAGTGTTGAACGCGAAAGTCACATCATATATATGATTACACATACTGTGTGTTGACCGTAGCATGATTGTGGTTCCAGGGACATATGCATATATCGATAACTATCCGTGTGCATAAGTGTGCGTATGAATGTGGATAATGTGAATATGAATAGGTACCGTAGGTTCCGTGCATCGAGGGAGTCTCGCATGAGAAGGACCACCTAAGCGCACTGCGGAGAAAGCGACCAATCTCAAGACCTATGAAGACGGGCTGCCAATACCCAACTGGAAGGTTCGGCCAGGCAAGTATGAGAGTGCAGCATAAAGTCACAAAACGGATCGCAACAGCTTGATCGTGATGACGCAACGGCATCACGGACCAGGCAAAGAACTCATCAGCCATCGCGACAGCCTGACCAACGAGCACTTTTTATTGTTTGTTAAGTAGTTCTACTTCACAGAAACGGAGAAAAATTAGCTCTTCATGAAGAAATCCTGTTTTTTTATTCTTGGATCGATCCTTGATTTTCAACAAAGCTTTATTGGTAACAGCACACCATAAACAGGGCTCGTTATCAAAAAATGGATTGGAGAAGATTTCATTGTAATAGAAGCGGGATATCAAGCCATACATGAGCACGAGAGAGCGATCATGTCGGGTAAAACAAGGCTCATCGAATGATTTGGTCCAACAGTGTAGAGGATTCGAAGAGGTGCGAAGCTTCGTGGAGCGCATGCGAATGGTTTCAAAGGTAGTTCCGATTGTGCTCGTGCCGTACTGAACAGTAACACAAGTTTCCACCCAGCTGTCTTGAGATTTTTCAAAATTTGCATGTTTATAGGAAAAACAACTTTGAGAATTTTAGGAAGTAATATCTTAGGTTTGACTTTTGCACTGTGAGGTTTATACTGACTCCGTAAAAGAAAGACTTAAAGGTAGATGAAACGAAAAAAATGAATGCCACTATTTTATTCGTTTTATTATATCATACAATTTCCATACCTGAGTAAATACTCAACTTCTGGATTTTCATGTGGACACCTCATATTAGAAGGACCTATACAGTAGTTAGCATAGAAACCAGCTGGGTACTGTATGAATTTGTCCCACCCTAAAAAGAGTGAGGTGATGATTGATTTGATGAATTAATAAAATGTTCAATAAATCTGCATATGGAAAACTCAACCGATCTCAGTGAAGTTCACGTAATGTTCGACGAGGCAGCACTCGACCGAAGGGTCGCACTTACTCGCTTTTGGCCCATCATAATAGACAAAATCCAGTTCTGGTGCTCCATCAAAGTAATCGAAATATTGAGCAGGATGCCCGTTTGCTAGCACTTCTACCTAGATCAGAGGAACGCTCACTTAAAGAACCATAGGCAATGTAAGCCTTATGTGAACCTTGATCCATCGATCAACACTGGTGCTCATGGAAGATTCCTTGTTGAACCAGTGAGCAGCATTGCGAAGAACTTCCAATCGAATGTTCGAAATATCCAGCTCTCCCCCGTCAATGCCACCTCTACCGAGTACTCCCCTTGAACCGCCTTGCCATATTTCATACAGTGTTGCAGTTAACGTTGCTGATCTTCGCCTTCTCGTTCGTCTGGAAAACCATATTTAAGCTTCAAGTACTCCCAATGCGTTACCTATTCCTCACCTCATCGTGAACTTAGCCGAAATCGTGGACAACCCAGGAGGAACTGCAAAAATGAAGCAATCATGAATTCTGCTGTTGTTATTCAATGGACATATGCCTAAATTGCGATGTTCTCATTCGGCGCGATGATGGCCTATCGGATACAGTAACCTACCTTCTGGTGTGCTGGTCATTATTGTTTCGCTGATCTTATCCGTCTGCACTGCTTGCCTGAACGCTGTTCCCTTCTTGTCGTACAAGTTCAACTCATTCATCATCATTTCTCTGACCTTGAAGAACACCAGGAAAGTGTTAATGGAACAAGGCTGAAGCAGACTGCTTTGCATAAATCCTATACCATAGGACTGCTTTTGTTCAACTTCTACTACCATGATAAGACTCATCGAGCAGATACCTTAAGAAGAAAAGCAATTCTACCTAATCTTCCCCAGATGACCCTTCCAAAACATCCAAGTTTCTCTACAATATAGGAACTTCTCTGTGCAAGACTGGGCAATCACCTCATGACTAATCGCGTGCCAGTTTTTATTGCAACAGTAGATAACATACAAGCGTTTAGATGTTTGAGAGCGCTACATAGTAGTGGCGTCACTTACTTTCCATTTCGAATTGGTGAGGATTTACTCATCTTTTTTCATAGACGTCGTCAAGTCTGATATTCTTGTTATCTCTTCCTCCAATTCCACAAGATTTGCTATGCTCAACGAATATGTTTCCTTCTTCTGTCTCTCTATTTCTGTTCCTACATAGCACACCCGTAGTCTAACTTTTCTTTATTTCGCGTACTTGTTCATTGATTATGCGAGTAATAGAAAGATGAATATTTGGATGACATGCATTCGAAATGTGATAAAAATTTTAGTAAAACAATTAATGTAAAAGTAGCGGTGATAGTAGTGTTTCCTAGATCAAATTGATGAACTAACCTGCATGCCAAGCTCCTTCGAGCTCAAAAATGCAGACGTGGTCGTTGTAAGGATGGATAGAACCAAGAGAAACAGCGATGACAGCAGAAACATCAAGATAAAGTAGAAGAGCCGTCAGTTAGAATGCACATCTACGAATAGATGATCGTTTGTGTTCATGATTGAGTATCGAAAAGCCAAGACAAAGAGAGCGCAGAAATTTCCGGATGCCTGTTAGGTTTCGAATAATCATCGAGTAAAGCGATATGCATTAGAGCAATATAGAAACATATTGAACATTCGAGAAAACATTCGCATTTGCGAATGAAAACTGTCAAGTTGACCAGTGCCCTCTTCTTTGGACGCTGATCCATGATTGTGATGGCCTGGTTGATTTTAACGTCCAGAAGTGAAATCAAATTCTTCTCCTACTGCTAGGGCCAGTTAGATCTTAGCCTTAATGTGTCCAAAGGGACTGATGGAGATGTTCCAATCAATACTTTCGTTGTAGTAGTCGAACGTGGTAGCTTTCTAAGCTTTGCCACTCATATGGAATCTGTTCCTACTAGTGACAGCTGTTATTGCTTATCGCTTTGTTGTTGCTGTTTATTGTGGCCATATATCGATCGGGCCTGTTTCCTTGAATTCTCGAGTTTTTCTGAGTTCGCAACAGCCTTGTCGTTCTGAAGTGTTCGATCGCTCTGCCAAAGGAAGCTCTGATGAGCTTTGATGTACATTGCTCAAAATGCTCGTTCACCCTGCAATAGCCAGTAGTTCTCTTACTACGGAAGTAATTTTTCTCCCCTTCCCTTGCACTTTCCAACTTTTTCTTTTCTACTTTAGTATTCAGTTGCAACTTTGCAATACTCCGGATCGATTCGTACATTTCCTTTTCTCTGGACTTTTTCCGGTTCCACTTCCTTTGAAAGCGTATTTTTGGAACTTGATACAAAAATATCTTCGTCTATTAAACATTTATACAGATTCAAGGAGGCTTTCTCTCCAAAGTAACAATGATATGAAAAAAAATTAGGACGCTATAAAAAAAGACCAAATGCTACCTAAAATACTGTAGAATGTATTTTTCAATGCATTCTCGATGTTCGAAATTAAGAAGGAACGTTCGATGATGTGTTGTAGTGACTACTTTGAAGATTGCATAGCGACGATCTGAGAGTAATTGTTGTAGGACAGCAGCAAATCGCTCCTGATAGTCGGTGTGACCGTGATGAATCTGAAAGAATGAATGAACAAATGGATGTGGATTCAAAGTCAAGAATTACAAGGAATAATACATAAATTTTTGAAGTATAACGAAATTTCCTGGCTTTCGCTTTTGAAACGCTGAAAACGCCAACCTCAGCATTGATTTGACAAACAATGATGCCGTTCTGGTCGAACTCGCGTCCAACCCCCATCATTGGTAACAGATCATATTCTGGACCTGAACAGTATTGGATTAACAACTATTCAAAGCCGTTGGGATCACTTCGTCTTGACCTTAGTCGAAGGAGTGGTAACTGTTCAAATGTATCGTCGTGCTCAACCCGACCTACCACTCCTGAAAAGGGGACGGCCTCCCTTACCTGCACGTATAAACTAGGAAACAATGGCAAAGGTTGCATGCGAAAAAAAGCCGAAAGGTGCAGTGCTTTCATTCAGAACTGTAAAAAGTCTGATAAGGCAAGTGGGTGAAGTTAAATTGCATTCTAGCTTTTCAGAAAGTTTCATAATATTATACGCAGATCGATGACACTTTTGACAAAACACTTTCAAAATTTTCTGTTTTTTTTTAATGTGCACATGCAATTTTGCAATACTCCGGATCGATATGTGTTTATTTTTCTGTGAATCTTCTTCGGTTATACGGTCTTCAACAGAAGAACCTCCTATTTTTAGAATTCGATACAAAGGTCTGCTTAACTATTAAAAAATTCAAACTGAATTCAGCCTTTGTTTCAAAGTAACAAAGATATGAAGGAAACGAGGAGTCAGCTTTGAACCTTCTCAGGATTAGTGAATTAATAAAAACTTGTCGTAGAATAGAGACCGCCAACATGGAGAATCCTCTTCAATCCCCGCTAAACGACTGTACTATGAATCAACCGTATCTTGTGTAAACTTTTGCCCGATACTCAAGTAACCACTAGCATCCATATGGCAGAAATATGGATTCAGTTGGGGCTCTACCTGGTGAACGAGTGTGGAATAATCGTACAGGCAAAAAATTGGGCCTCCTATCGAAAGCCACCAGTGACAACCAGGCCACCATCCCACCGGAGCTTTAAGATGGTACCGAGTATCAGCAAAATCCAGGGAAGTGGAAGGACAGTCTTCAGTCTGTCAATGCTAGCAACGCAACCTTTCTGAATAGAAGTAGCATTAAGGCAATTCAAAATAGAAATCATCATGCCATATACCTCTTTCATGCATTTCTGTCCACAGCAGGGATGTGTTCCTCGCTATTCATCACTACATTACTGTAATTACATCATGTTCTCTACCTTCGTTGTCCATAAGGAACTGATCAATGAATCGTGTTTGCGTCAGTTTGGTCAGGAACGTTATAACATCGATGTGTACCATGGTTCGGAATACATAATGCCCTAAAATAGTGGCCTTCAAGAAACTGAACTTCTCAATTGAAATTAGTTACTAGTTCTCCTCTGAGACATATGTATGTAGGATCGAGAAATCTGTCCACTGAACACAACAAATGTTCTAATTTTAAGCCCACAAAAGAATAATGGGTGGCACCTCCCAATCAAGGGAGCATAGAGCTACATGGAACATGAATCTGTCTCATGTCCCCGTGTCATTCACCTATTCCATATAGAATTCTTGCCAGACCCCTCGTTCATGACCACGCTTATTTAATGCAACATCGCATCGCTGTAGGCATCGCTTTTGAAGGTGGGGCGGAAATGGAATTCCGACGCCTCCATAGGTGGTCATGAATTTTTTTTCATATTAATATAGAGGCGGTGCAAATAATACTTGTATAAATCCTATGAAAATCCAATAAAATGATTTTTTCGAGCGCCCAATTTGGCTTTAACTGATTGTTCCACGAGATATAGACTCCAGCAACCAGTTGGCCCTTGAATGCCGACACCAAATCATTTTGTTGGGATAGCGAGA